CAGGGTGCTCTGTTATGACTTTTCTGAATGTTCTTTTACTTAAAGGTTGCTCCTAACGTTTTTAGTTTAAAAAAAAATAGATTTTGCACGAGGTATTTCGGGTTGGGAAGGTCCGCACAGCGTGAGAGGTCCCTGCTCTGCCCTAACTGATGCTGGAGGCGTTTCTTCTGGTGTGGCCGGGGGTTTCCACGAATGTATTCTGTTGCTTAAACTCTAGAAACTCGCCTTCCCTTTGACCACAAAACTACGTAGCCTCTGATCTAGCGGCTTCTTTTGCCCCAAAGGCAAGAACTCCTGGAGAAAACCCTCAGATCCTTAAACGCAACATTTCCTTGTTCCGTCAGATGGCAGTGAGCTTAGAGCGATCATTAGGGAGGAGGGTACAGGCAGAGTCCTGCTTTCTCTGGTGGAAGTCCATCATCACCATCATCACCTGCACCGTTATTAACTACTAATCCACTCACACCCTTTCCTGCATGGTCGTCTTTTCATAGTAGACGCACCAATTAAAGAGAAACAGGAGCATCTTTCCTCCTGCAGGTGTTTGCCGACCTTTTTGACCCTGTCATTAAACTCAGGCACAATGGCTACGACCCCAGGGTGATGAAGCACCCCACGGATCTGGATGCATCCAAGGTAGGCTCAGCCGCCTCTGGCCGCTCCTGTCAGCTGGCACCCCAGGGCCCACAGTGAGGAGCGCCCCCCACCCCCACCCGGAGAAGGACCCCTGGGTCAGATGTCCCTTCAAGTCCTGACTCCGTAGCGCAGCATGCTTCCTGGAGAGCCCCCCTCCCCCCAAGGCCAGGAAAGCCCCAAAGGTGGTGGTGGTCACTAACGTTAGGCCTCTCCTATAGCAATTCCTTTCCTCATAGCACTCCTAAGGGTGGTGGTGGTGGGGGGGGGGTATGGGATTCCAGGCGGCTCTGTGCAGAGAGCTCTGCCCTCTCACCCGTCTCTGAAGCGCTACGTGCTGTCCTCCCGGGTGCGCACCGGCCGCAGCATCCGCGGGCTGAGCCTGCCGCCAGCCTGCTCCCGGGCGGAGCGCAGGGAGGTGGAGAACGTGGCCATCACGGCCCTGGAGGGCCTCAAGGGCGACCTGGCTGGCCGCTACTACAAGCTGTCCGAGATGACCGAGCGGGACCAGCAGCAGCTCATCGACGTGAGTGGCCCCCAAACCACGCGGGCCGCGGGGTGGGGCTGAGCCCTGACCCACGCAGTGCGGCCTCTTCCGGAGCGCAGGCCCTGCCCTGGCTGGGAGCTTTGCTGGGGCGTCTGGGTGTTCAGAGTCATGAAGACGAGGCCTTAAAACGTTAGGTCATCCACGCAAGTACTCTAAGGGTCAGATCTGCAGATCTGGGTATGAGTGGAGGTGAATGGAGGATTTCTCTGCTGGCTGGTAAATGAAAACAAAAAGGTGTGGAAATCCTGTGCCACACCCACAGGAAGCGGTGGGAACTAGGAAAACCTGGAAAGGAGCTTCTTCAGGTGGAGCCTGCCCTGACTGGCACTGGAGCCAGCCTCTGGGGTGCCTGCCGCCTCCACATCCAACACAGCTTCACTCTAACACTAGAGTGGACAGGACCCAACCCCAAAGCACAGCTAAAACAGGATGGCAGCTTCAAAAGTAGCATTTAACTAAAGGCCAAGGAGCAGCAGAAACAAGTATCTGTCATTTCAGAAGATGCAACGTCACAAAATATGCCTCATTTCCAAACCAGGCAGGCCAGTCTCCTGGTCTCTGCAGCCTCAGGCCAACCCTCCCCCTGTCCCGCTACAGAACCAGCCCTCCTGCACCTCACGTAGCCACTTCTGGTTCCCAGCTTAAGGAACCCTGTTTCGTGGGCAGTGACTGTCCACAAGTCTGTGCTGGCTCAAGTCTCTGACCTCTTCTACTTCTCAGAGATTGAAGAAAGACTTCCCTGCCCATAGCCTCTTGATTTCTGACTCCGTGTAACAACACTTGAATGCACGGTATCCATATTCACACTCTTTACTGTGTACACACAGAAGGAAAAATGTTGGTCACTCAACATTGATTTCGATATGTAGAGTAGCATATTGTAGTTGAAGGCACAGTTTGGAGTCATACAGGTCTAGGTTTGAATACAAGCTCTACGACCTCCTAGCTGTGTGATATCAGATAGGCTATTTTCTCTTTCTGAATCTCAGTTTTTCTTACCTACAAAAGAGAATGATTGTGCTTGGCGCATAGTGTCGTTGCGAGACTTAAGGAAATAAATTATAAGCACATAGCATAGAGCCCAGCACATAGTCAGCATTAAATTAGTGGTGGCCATTTTTATTTGTAGATCCTTACTTCACATTTCTAAGACTTTTTAATGAAAGGAATGGTAATAAATGAATCAGTAATGTTAGAAACGGAGAGAATGGTGGCTGTGCAGAACAGACTTTTCAGGATGGTGCCCCTTACTCACTGCCCACTCTGCCACCGCATGAGGTTGGTGCTGGTGGGGTTTACACACTCCCTAGCGATGAAGTGTTTCCATTGGGCTAACCCAGTGGGTTTCAACCTTAGCTCTACACTAGCATCACCTGAAGAGCTTTTAAAAATCCCACTGTCCAGGCCACAGCTCATATGGTCAGAATCTCTGGGGCGTGGGCATTAGTACTAATTTTTAAGTTCCCAGGTTACTCTAGTGGGCAGCCACGGCTGGGGACCATGCCTGAGGACCGCAGCCATTGTTAGTGAGTTGAAACTTGGACACCTGGCACCGGCAGTCATGCCCGATCTTACCCGTTTCTCCTTTCTGCTTTGTCCCTTTTGGCCTGCAGGACCACTTTCTGTTTGATAAGCCAGTGTCCCCTTTGTTAACGTGTGCTGGGATGGCCCGGGACTGGCCTGATGCCCGGGGAATCTGGTAGGGACACAGCGTTTCACATTTGCAGTGTGTGCAGAAGCTCTCCTGCAGGCCGTCTGTCCTAACCTGAAGTTGCTGTGACGTGCACTTGACAGCATGCCCAGCTTGAGCTACCGGAGAGAGAGTATTTAGAAACTTTGTGTGTGTGTGTGTGTGTGTGTGATGTTTCTAAGATATGTAGGGACATTGGCTGGTTTGCATGAATTATGCATGAGGAAAAGACTATATTCTTTAAGAAAAAAATTAGGTTCATATTATTTGACCTCACATAAAATGTTTCATGATATTAAAACAAAAGGGCAGAAAATGAAAAGTAAATATTGAGGATTTAAGTAAAACCCAATGAGGAAGAACGGATACTGAGTACACATACATTTGATCTTGGCCAACAGTTTTCAGTCCACTTTGATTCCTGTACCTTGTAGGTTATTATGACACTACCTGAAAGAGATGAGATTAAAGTGTTCCTGAGCAGCTGCCAGTGGGAGTAGGTAGGCAGGATCTATACAGCAAACATAGGTAAACATCCTCTGCACTTCCGATACCTTAGACTACAGGTAAAACTTTTTTTTTAAGGACCACAAGATTTTGGTTGAATATATTAGGAGATAAAACACCCTTATTAGTGTCAAAGCTAAATGTTACCATAGTTGAATTATTGTCATCCTAGTCTGAGGAATGAGGGAGATTATATTCTTGTTGAGCAAAAACATGACATATATAAGGGTCGGAGTGGTCTTATTCTTCATTCTGTCATTGTAACAGCATTTTATAGTACTTGTTCAGGCACAATTACGAGATTAGGGCCATCTAAGAAATTAGGAAGATAAAATGAAGCAATCAAGCCAAAGAGGTAATGGGAATTTGCATGTGTTGAAACAAATATAATTAACACTCAACACCATATTTCTCTCTTCGTTAGGCATAATTATGACAAGACATTTCTCATCTGGATTAATGAGGAAGACCACACCAGGGTAATCTCTATGGAAAAAGGAGGCAATATGAAACGAGTATTTGAGCGATTCTGTCGTGGACTAAAAGAAGTAAGATGTTATCAGAGATTTCTGAATATTCACTAAAATAAAATATCTTTATTTTTCATCCTTAAAAGAAGACAATGCAGTGCCTTCCAAGATGGGGCTCATGTATCCTGGGGATCATGGCACTCACATACACACACTTCTCCCTGAGGTTTGGGGTGTGCTGAATGAACAGACATCTGAGAACTCCATCATTTGTTCACTGTTGTAGGTAGAACGCTTGATCCAAGAACGAGGCTGGGAGTTCATGTGGAATGAGCGCCTCGGATACATTCTGACCTGCCCTTCGAACCTTGGCACAGGATTACGGGCTGGTGTCCACGTTAAGATCCCGAAGCTGAGCAAGGTAATGTGATGTAGCCAGCAGCCCTGTTGGGTTCCTCCAGCATCCCCTCAGAGGGGACTGCTTTGTGGAGGGAGAAAATGTCACTGCCCATGCCTTAATCCTTACTTTCTGCACCTACAACAAAAAATAGTGAGAGAAGGTTAAGGTGACCACAAAAGACATTTGTTTCAGGAGGACAGAGGTGAAGGGGCTCTGAGAAAGAGCCGTGGCTTCAAAAACAAAAAGTTTAAATTCTCCCTCATATGACAAACCTGGATAGATAGAAGGGCTGCTCTGTCCTTGGGGTTCCTTCCATCTCCTTCTCTGCCTCTCCTAGTGGAGAGGTTCTCAGACCTGAGACTGCATCAGACCTGAGACTGCACAAGACCAGGAGGCTTGTGAAAACACAGACTGCTGGGCCCACCCGCCTGATTTGCATGTCTACCAAGTTCCCAGGTGACGCTGATGCTGCTGGTCAGGAAACTGCGCCTGGAACACCGCTGTCTTAGGGCTTGTCCCCTTTGCACGGTCACCATCAGGCCCCAAGAGGGAGCTTATGGGAAGTGGAGAGAGAGCACACAAGTGTTTCCACATAAAGACTTCAGGTCTAGGCCTGGAGGCACACATCGTTCTGCTCAAACTTAGCACAACTTAGCCAGTGGTCACTTCCTCAGCTCCACTGTGGGAGGGAAGGAAAAAAGGGTTCTGTTGGGCAATTAAATTCTGCCACAACAAGTGAACCAAATACTTTAAAACAACTTTAGAAAATGTGCTTTCTGCCGAAAAGGCATGAAAATTTTTATTGTTCATAATTCCAATTCTAGAAAAAAATACTTGATGTGATTTAACGTCATGATTTAATCACATCAGTGATAACTATTATAAAGATGAATACTGAAAACTCACCAAAGCTGGCATCCAGAGGTGACAAAAGCAGTAAAGAAATTAATAACAATACACTTGAAACCTATATAATTTTACTAACCAATGTCACCCCAATAAACTTAATAAAATTGTTAAGAAAATAAGTTAAAAAACAGCCCTGCAACCTTCTAGATGTGTGACCTTGGGCAAGTTAATTCCTCTGAGCCTTAGTTTCCTCATCTGTGAAATGGGGGTGAAAGCAAAACCTACTTCATAGGGTTGTTGTAAGATTAAAAGTTCCAGCACAGAGCCCTGGTACATAGTAAATATATGCTTAATAAACACTAACTGTTATAAGCTCTCATTAGATGTCTTTTCTATGTGAAAGTGCCAATGACAGTGCATGGATTTTGCCTCTACAACACTGTGTTATCCCTGTCCCAGGACCCCCGCTTTTCTAAGATCCTGGAGAACCTGAGGCTGCAGAAGCGTGGCACGGGTGGTGTGGACACTGCGGCAGTGGCAGACGTGTACGATATTTCCAACATAGATCGAATTGGTCGGTCAGAGGTAACATCTCTCTCACTCTCTGAACATGAACTAACAAAATCAGCCTACAAGAAAAAGAAGTAGCCTAACAGCGACTTACCTTATTCACAGAACCTGAAACCTCCTCTTTCCCACTGAGTCCCAGTCCCATTAGTGTTTGGTTCTGTAGTGCTATTCTTCCACAGGAAACACTGCAGTGTCAGCTGGGAGTGTACAGGTAAGCAAAGGACGCACAGTAGGACTGTGGTCGCCAGCCTGCCCCGGGAGCATTTCCAGGTCTTCAGTGCAGGAGCTCTGTTATGCCAAAGGACAGTAGTGATGCCTCACTGCGAAATCAGGGAACACGTGTGCTCTCTCACCGACGGTGATAAAATAGTGGATTTTTCTCCTGATTCTGAATTTCCTTTGGCGAATGAAGGCCACATACTGTCATCTTCATTTAGGCATTTTTAGATACTTGATACTTTCTGAAATACTTCTTTTAGGGCTAAAGATGAGAAATGAGGTATGCACTAGGTGTACATATGATTATGCTCATAAAATAATCCTTAGGATTCTGTGAGTATATAGGATGGAAAGGGTACAGACGCTATATGCAGGCCTGGAGCGATGCAGGAGGTGACGCGTAAAGAGCACACTTAAGCAACATGAAGCTGAATCCTAAGCAAATACTGATCTCAGTACATTTATCAATTTATCTGGATGTGGTCCCATTGGATGTATTATGCCCATCACTAATTTAAAAGCCTTTTCTTATTACATACAACGCTTAATAACTCAGTGGCTGGTTATTCAATCTGTGATTATCGATGCTCTTTCTTCTCCCTTGCCAACTTTTGAATATTTCATTGCCTATTGGTATGCCTACTAGTAAACTAAGGAAAAGAAATGAGAAAATACTCAAAACAATTAAACCAGCCTATGTAAACCAGCTCTGGTGAAGTGCTTGAGGAAGAAGCAGCTAAAAATGCCACAACTTCTGAAATGCAGGGACTAATGTGTGGTGTAGTGAATAAGGAAAGTCTGGTCCTAGCCCTGTCTGCTTGTAATATTAACTAGATTTTTATTAATGGAACGCAAGGTAGTCATTGCTTTGAAAACATTTTATGTCTAATTAAGTTAATAGATAATCATTATAAAAGCTAGAAAAATACCAAAAAGTATTCAAACTTAACCTAACAACCCTGAGATAACCATCATGGACATTATTCTGAATTACCTCCCATTTTTATACTTATTCAAAAAAAGTTTGGTTTTTGTTGTTGTTTTTTTTAACAACAAAATTTGGTATTATTGTATATATTTGATGTTATAATACAGCTTTCCCCAATGTATTATATCATGAGCATTTTCCTATACTATTCTTCAAAAACATGATGTTTAATAACAGTCCATTAAAGATAGTCCATTATCTATTTAATATCTCCCTGATAATTTGATGTATTGTTTGGCCATCTCTCTATACAAGTCTATGCCAATCTCTTTGCATAACAGTAATCACAATTCTGATTATGTAGTTAAAATGAAATTCCTAGGAAAAGAATTTCTGGGTTGAAGATGAGAGGTCCTGATAACCAAGTTCCCCATCAGAAGGTTTATACCAAGATACAGTCCCACTGGCAATGAATGAGAGACCCTCTCACCCCACCCTCTTCAACACTGGGGTGGGTCAATTGGATGAGTACAAAATATGCTTAGTAATGACTTTCTGATCCAAACCTTTCATGGAGCCTCAGTTTCTTTCTTTTTTAAAAGGAAAATATATTTTAATTGATTTCAGAGAGGAAGGGAGAGGGAGAGAGAGACAGAAACATCAGTGATGAGAATCATTGATTGGCTGCCTCCTGGATGCCCCCTACTGGGGATTGAGCCCACAACCCAGGCATGTGCCCTTGACCAGAATCAAACCTGGGACCCTTCAGTCTGCAAGCCAATGCTCTATCCACTGAGCCAAACCAGCTAGGGCAAGACTCAGTTTTTTAGGCATGAAAAGAGGTGGGTAGGGGACTGGACTCCCTCATGCTTAAGGTATGTTCAGATATTCAACAATCCCTCCCATATTTACTGTTTATCCTTGAGTTAAATAATGTATTTTAGTGCTGTCTGGAGTTAGCTAACTAGTAACTACCTTAGTTTGAGTCTCTGCAGGAACAGTGCAAGTAATTTGTTAGGGAGATGACCCCAGAAAAAAGATTCATATGTAGGTGTGATCTAATTTTAAAAACATCCATATTTGTAAACGAAAGTTCTAACATTTTTCAAGAAACAGAAAATTTAAGTTTTTCTTAATATCATTCACAGTTTCTTTTCAGTAGCAAACTGGTCTGGTAAGTAAAAACATCATTTAATTGTTAAACATTTGATTTTAAACAAATTTTTGGAAAGACATATATTTTCAGATAATATCTGAACAATAGCATATTCAGTGCTTGGATAGCCTAGTGGGAGGTCAGAATTCAGATCCAGGCCAAAGAACAACAGAAGGGTGTTACTGTGTAATTTTGCCTTTAGACAAACTCTGTTATTTTACAGCTGAGACTGAGGGGGGCAAGTATCTGAGATGCAAACTGATGGTTTTCACATATGAAAAACGTTCTCACACACAAAGTAGTAACCCTATCTTAACTAAAGGAAGATCATGAGGAGCCCTGTAAAATGTCTCTGCTTCCCTCTCTGACCGTGACCATCAGACATCTCTCCTCCCACAATCCCGTAAAGGAAAAATGAGAAAGAACACATGGTTATAGACTATCTAATATGGCAAGTTCTCATTGCCCCAGTGTTGTTCCTATTGATCAATGCATTGTATGTGCCTCCTGTGAAAATTAATCATTCATCTTTTTCACTGTCCAAGGTTGAGCTCGTTCAGATAGTCATCGATGGAGTCAATTACTTGGTGGATTGTGAGAAGAAGTTGGAGAGAGGTCAAGATATTAAGGTGCCACCGCCTTTGCCTCAGTTTGGCAGAAAGTGAACTTTCCCTTCCCCATTTATAAGTAATGTGTCTGCTGGTATGACAGACATAAAGGTATTTCTGCTCTGAGAGTTTTTGTAGACTTGGGGAAAATGTAAAATTGTATGTCTTATCTTTAGAATAAAACTCTCCTTAATCTCTTTGGTTTCCCTGATTTTTAAAAAATGTTTACTAAGAAGAGCAAATAACATCCAATTACCAGTAGCAGGAAATAAAAATGTTTTTTAAGGCAATGATAAAAATAATATTTGTAAGTCACCTCATTAGAACAAAAGACACTTTTATCACCTAGGAAATTCCAAGGGATTTGCGTGTCATGAACTGGAGTCAAAGACCAAATATTACAACAGAAAACTAGTATTCTTACCACTTAGGAAATTATAAGAATTTTAGGAACTCTGTGACAGGAACACGGGGCAGATATGTACTAGTATTACACATACATACACACATACTACATTATTTCACAGGCTCTATTTAGTTATTAAAGTAAATTTCAGAAAAAAGGATAAAGGAGGACATTTCATATGTACATACATGTAAATTCATTAAGAAGACTTAAAAACTCGAAATACATGTTCATTTAATAAGTTTCAAAATGCATGAAACCCAAACTGACAGAACTGAAAGAGGAAACAAGCAAACACACACACAAATTCCTCTCTCAGTATTCCATAGAACAAGTAGACAAATTATCAGGAAGAATACAGAATATTAATTGTGTTTGGATCTGCCTAGAAGCAGATGCCAAGATAGGATTCAACATGAAAGCTGTTTTTGTGGGGAGGGAACAGAAGAAGGAAGATGCATTCAAACAAGCTCAGTGCTAGATTGACAGGGAAGGAAGGAAGATTGGGTCGGAAAAGACTACAAAACAGTTCCAAGGAAGTTTTATCCACTCCAACGGGAAGTCTTCATGCCTGTTGGAAGGGTCTTGTATCTTCTAAAGGAAGAATGGCCTTGCTCATTTATGAGCTGAAAGCAGAATTTGGGTAGCCTGGCCTTCGTATGAACACAATGGTTGATCCATAGGGGCAGTAACTAGAGTTGTCAGCTGGGTTATGCAAGGGGAGGTCTCAGTAATGCATTTTCATGGCCACCACAGTCCACTCTTTGCATCATACAGACTCACTTCAGGGAGAAGCTTCTTTGTGGCTCCCATGGATCTCACTTTCTAAGGAAGATCTTAGAAAAGGGGGGTTAGCTGTATAAACTAAAATCCCATTGCTGCAACTGGTGTTCCTCCTCGACCTCCTCCATTACCCACTCTGAATTTCCCTATCTTCATCTTGGCAGGCTATGGTGGCTCACTTTGTTGTATGAGCCAAGCTTCAGTCCTGAGACCTTGGCAGTTATATCCTTCTTGGGCCTGGCTTTCACCTCCCGTTGGAATAGTACAAGGGATGCCACTGTATCACATGGGTTCCCCACCTATCCCTCCCTGCCCCATCGTGTAAAAGCAGCTCTTCTCTGCTGTCAGCGCTGATCACCCCTTTCACAATGATGGCTCCTATTCTCACCTGCTGGTCCCAGACATGTAAGTCTTATTATTCCGAAATATTTCACAACAACTTTTTAAAATTGAAAATTGAATTAAGCCCAATTTTTTAAAATATATTTTATTGATTTTTTACAGAGAAGAAGGGAGAGGGATAGAGAGTTAGAAACATCGATGAGAGAGATCGACCAGCTGCCTCCTGCACGCCCCCTAGCGGGGATGTGCCCGCAACCAAGGTACATGCCTGTGACCGGAATCGAACCTGGGACCCTTGTGTCCGCAGGCCGATGATGCTCTATCCACTGAGCCAAACCGGTTCGGCAAGCCCAATTTTTAATGTAAAGGGATACATAGCTATTAATTGAAATGGAGGAAAACTTTGGTATAAATTATGGAATATCTACTGTATTTAATCCAATGATCAAGATAGAAATTAAATAATCACCATCTTTCTACATTAGAAATATTCCTTTTTCTTGTATATGGAAGGAACTATACAGGGACTTAGAATTTTATTGGGAAACAACAAAAGTGACAGATCCTCAAAAACCTCAAAACATTTTAAAAGGCAAATAAAAGTGCCATCTAAGATTTAAACTAGAAAAGTCTGCACATATTGGAGATTAGCCATCTGTAAGACTAAAACCAAAGAGTTGTCTGGGATCTAAGACTAACCTAAGAACCGCAAGACTGCAATCGGATGATTCAGAAAAGGGAGCCAAGGAAATTACGTTTTATCCTTTCTGCAAAAATCCTATATGAAGCTAAGGCAACGGGTTATCATAGAACCTAGAAACGGAGGATGGAGGGATCACATCAGTTGGACGGGCCTTTTGCATCATTGGAGAAGGCCCCACCCAGTTGCTACGAATGACCAATTCTTCATTTGTTCCTATGGTAGATATGGGATTGGATTGTCTGACCTTCCTGCTTTGGGCTCATATGTTCAACAAGTCATGTATTCTAATGCTGAAAATACTAGAGGTCAAGGGTTAAAGAGATGTCCCATAATTAATCGTGTATTAATTCTGTAAGCATAATCTACATTTGACAATGAGTAAATATCAAATGAGAAATATCGCATGATCTCACTCATTTGTGGAATATAATGAACAACACAAACTGATGAACAAAAACAGATCCAGAGACAGAGAAGCATGAATCAGGCCATCAAACCTTAGAGGGAAGGTAGGGGAGGGTGCGGGTAAGGGGGAGAGATCAACCAAAGGACTTATATGCTAGCATATAGGCCTAACCAATGCCCAACAGGGGGATGAGGGCATGAGTGGGGAGGATTGGGGGGGGGTAATGTGGGGATAAGGACACATATGTAATAACAAAAAATATCACATGAGAAATGTAATTATGGAATTATAAAAGCAGGATTTAAGAAGAGAGTTTAAAAATAATTTTATGAAACTTAGAGTTATAGTGGAAATGCAATGAACTGACAGTCATTTAGTTTTTAACATACACATCAGTCTCCTTCCTTTTAAAATGTACTTGACTTATATAGGCTATTTCTATATTAAATCCAAAGATTCAGGGAAGAAATGTCACATTTTGGCAGCTCCAGAAAATCTTTGCACACAACTCAGTTGTTAGTATAAAAGCAGCTCTGAAAATAGATACTTCTTTCAAATAATGTAGGTGGGGCTGGAAAAGAAGACACTGGGCTCCTGGAATGCAAAAGCTGTGCTGCTAAAGTCCTGGGCAAACAAGCACAGAGTAGCTGCAGAGAGAGAGATGGAGTCTGTGAACACTGCGCAGACATGGGCCGAATTACTTGGAACTCATCAGTGCTGATGAGGCACAGACTGCATTCAGGTGCACTTCAATCAGAACTCGATTGTACCATTAAAATTAATGAAGCACTAGAAGACTTTAATGAGTAAAAGTGGTTGGTTTTAGAGTCTTTTATGCATTTGACAATTTGCTTGATGGTGTAATCACATCTCTCTCTAGTAGACAGGTAAAAAGTTTTGGTTATTAAAGGTTTTAAATAACACATTATATTCAACACATCTTTTCAACTTTTACTTACATGGCCTAATGGTTTAGCTCAGTGGTCGGCAAACTGCGGCCCCTTGAGCGTGGCCCTTCCACAAAATACCACGTGCAGGCGCGCACATACAGTGCGATTGAAACTTCGTGGCCACACTCAAGGGGCTAAAGAGCCGCAGGTGGCTCGCGAGCCGCGGTTTGCCAACCACAGGTTTAGCTTAATTAAAACAGATCAATTTATCACCTTGTGGTGGTGTGGATTTTTTAAGTAGAAACTAAACAATTGTTCTCTCTCAGATCGCAAGTTTTCTCATTACATAGCTGAGATATCGATTTTCCCTCTTTTAAACTGCTAGCGCACTCAAAGCCAATAAGGCTGTGTTTTTTTTTTTTTTAAATCTTTTCTAGGAATATATTCATCATGAGTGCATGTGTGGAGGAATCCAATCACCTCCAAATAGGGTTTTACTATGAGATTCAGAATACGAAACTGGGAAAGAAAGATGATTATCAGCCAGGCATCAATGTGTGTTTTCATATTAGCCTAGCAAATAAGAGAATGACATATAGTAGTACCTCCCCTTATCCGTGGGAAATACATTTCAAGACTCCCAGTGGATGCCCGAAACAGCATGTCTTAGGCTCACAGGCTGTTGGCTGCTTAAAGGCAAGGACTCTATCATTTTTATACATCTAGCATTTAACAAGGTACTGGCAAACAGTAGATATAAAAAAGTGCTTTTTCCTCACCAAGTCCATTTTGTAGAACTCCATTGGTAACTGACTTCCCATTATTCTCTCGGAAGGAACAGTCTAAGGCCCACATCAGGTAGTATTTCCTCAGATATAAGGAGGGGAGGAAGTACTCATTTCAGAGAGGAGAGCTTGCAAATCTTACCACTTATGTGTAATTTAGGTCTGAGTATTCGTTTGAAGCACTTGACACTCCAACCACTAAAACACATGATTAGAAACTTGAACTTGAGAGACAAACCAGAAGAGAGTGAGATGAGCGTAAGGCCATATAATTATTGTGATTAATAGTTCCCACGCTATTGTTTCTCATGTTTAAGAAAAGAATAAGAAAAAGATGCAAGCCTGTTTAGGGCAGAACACAGTCTTCCTATTATTCCTATTCCTTATTGCTTAGCAACTTCAAGCAACTTCCACTAATGGGTTTCTCCTGTTAGACACTTCAGAAACCAGTTTCGTTCACTTCTGAAATAAAGTAATACAGGCATACCTCGGAGACACTGTGGGTTCAGGTTCAGGCCGCCATAATAAAGCAGGTATTGTAACAGAGTGAGTCGTAATATTTTTGTTGGTGGAGGGTCTTGCCTTCAGTTTGTAAAAAATGTAACACCTGTGAAGTGCAATAAAGTGAAGCATGGTAAAACAGGGCATGCCTGTATTGCTTATAACTTCATTATTGAGAAAACTATCAATACAAATGGAAAAAAAAAGTATAGGGTCACCTCTATGTGTATGTCAGATAAGAAAACTATCACCAGAAGTGGGCCCTATGGTAATCAATTAACTTCTCTGATACTTGGTTTACTGACCTGTAAAACAATGACATAAGATTTTTAAAGGTATGTATTTCTAAAGGTATGTATTTCTACATAGTTGAAACTTCTC